CCGTGTCATGCTTTTATTAGACGCGAGAAGCGCGTAAATTTTTATTTCTAGAGTCGAATACCGTCGGAGGAATAAGCCAATACTAATCAAGCTTTATAAATGAGAAATATATCTTGAAGCATATGGAAATGTTCATTTTGTCCGAGAATATAATAACTGTAATATGCAAATTAATCGATACACCAATTAAGAAATAAATCATGACCGCTTGGAGAATCGAGGAATTAACTGTACTGTAAAATTGGTTTTTTCCACCCATCCTCGGCTCCCATTTTCTCGCCATCTATAGAAACACATTTGATTAAATTTTTTCCGATCCAACCTAAGAATCGTGTCATTGGTTTTTTTTAAAAGTCCATTTTTATAAAAAGGCTTGTGCACTCAATTTATTTATCCGACATTGGAAGAGTACTCGGTCAAAGTTTCGTTGAATTTGCTGGAGTGGTTTGAGAGAAAATGGGTCACGAAGTTGGCCGATGTTAGACGTGGATAGAATTCCGCTGTGAATTCCCTTAACGTTATACCGTTATGAATTATGAGTAATTATAACCATCTTTACGTAGAGAACAGAAGAATCGTTCGTCCGATTTGAAAGCAACGAAATTCGAATTCAGCACTTGAATATCGTACTTAGTTAGTAAAATCGTTAAAACGTTCGTAACGTGCAACGAACTTCCGTAAAAGTTGTTGGAACTTGGAACGAAGGAACGTGGAAAGATAAGCGTCAACGGAAATACCCGTTTTAATTCGTTTACCCGGTTGAAGCGACATCTCTGCGTAGCTAGTTATACCCGCTGCTGGTGGCTTTGCTGTGTTACTTCCGGTTGCACACTCAAAGCTGGATGGTACGAAAGAAACAAAGTGAGAGGAACGGGGCTAAGTTCGATCACATCGAGCCTCGTTCTCATCGAAATCCGCTTTTCGGTGTTAAGGACGTCCGATTCGATTGCTAGTCGTGTTCCTCGAATTAAACAGGCATCTGACGTATCGCAATGTCAATTTAAAACTCACGCTATCGCGGATAGGTATATGGACATTTTAATCGATGTTTATTAACAACGTCCAATTATTTCTGAGAATCAGAGATCCAAAATAACCGTTATTTTAAGTATTTTTTTTGACAAAGAATCCTTCAGTAAGAAATTTCTCAAAATACAAAACGATTAAACGATATGACCTTCAACTCTCCTAATTATGAATGACCATCATGAACGATTAACATTTTTTTTCGCCAACAATAAAATTCGGCTCGTCGATAATGATTGTCGGTAAAGGAACAAAATTTCGATCATTTTACCGGCAACGAAAATTCAATTTCCGTCGTCGATAATGGTTATTCGTAAGCAAAACAAAATTCCATCATCGATAATGATTACCAGTAATCAAAAAAGTTTGGATCATTGGTAATGGCTCTTCGTAATGAAAGCTTTTTAATCAGAACAGTCAACTTCTTGCACGATGACTTTTTAAGTGACCATTGTAACTGTTAACGAATGAACAAACAGTTGATGTCTACTAAGAACATAGAATTAACGACAGGCTAATGATTAAAAATGATGCTTCGTATCAAAGTTGATTAAATTACAAGTATGACGTATTAACACGTTCACGCCGGCGTGCACCACCGGTGGCTCACGCTCGAGTTTCCCATCAGACAGCGTCCACCATCGGCGGCTTACGCTCGAGTTTCCTATCAGACGGCGTGTACCACCGGTGGCTCACGCTCGAGTGTGCCATCAGGCAGCGTGTACCACCGATGACTCACACTTGAATCTTCCATCAGACGGTGCATACCATCAAAAATGTAGTTTAACAACTAGAGAAAATTGCCATATAGTTGAAAATTTAAATAATAGCGAATAGAAAATTTCAAAAATAGAGAAACACAAACAGCAGCGCTGGTGTGTACGTGTCAAACAATGAACGGGGTAATCGTTACTTACACACAGGAAAATACTCAAAATGTTCGAAACGGTAATTAAAATACAAGAAATGAAATGTCGTTATACAGGGTGGTTGGTAACTGATGGTACAAGCGGAAAGGGGATGATTCTACGCGAAAAAAGAAGTCGAAAATATAGAATAAACTTTTTTTTTTTTTTGTTGGGTAGATGATACATTTACACTGTACATGTGAATGTGTGTGTAAGCGTTAGAGGGCGTCCAGGTCTTAAAAGTCGAAAATATAAAATAAACTTTTTTTTTTTTTGTTGGGTAGATGATACATTTACACTGTACATGTGAATGTGTGTGTAAGCGTTAGAGGGCGTCCAGGTCTTAATGGAGACAAAAGACTGTTGCCAGATGTTAGAAGAATCTGGAAGAGTCCGTTGAGAACAAGCGTGCGTGCAAGGAGGTTATCGAGGTCTTCAGAGTGTAATATATATGTATAGCTGTTGTGTGTGAAATAAAGTAAACTATTCGTATTTCCGAATCCTTTCTTTACCTTAACATTTTTAAATTTTTCCATCGAGACAACGATCTACAGTGAGATCCGTTATAACGAGACGTGATAAAGTGCACGCGTACCGAGCGGAAATTCAAAGTCGATTTTCTCGAAAACAAAGTCTCAAACGAAAAATGTTTATTCTATATTTTCGACTTCCTTTTTCGCGTAGAATCGCCCTCTTTCCGCTTGTACCACCAGTTACCAACTACCCTGTATAACCATAAAAAGCCTTCCTTTGATTTCGTTCTACGAAACTCTGAAACAGTCAATCCGAATTCTTAAGGCTTTGGTTCACGGATTCGCTATATTTTGAACCAGACTACGTCTAATTCCAAATTCCGAGAAACTCGTGGAAACTGTGAAGCGCGCTTTGTACTGAATACACTGCCACTAAATACGTCGAAAGTCCGTTTAAAATCGCGTTTACGTTAACGCGGTGTTTGAGTGGTGCGAATTACGAGCACGCTTCGACGTCGAGACGTCGGGTTGCAGCCTGAAAAAACGGTTGGAAAAGAGGCGGCGACGTTGCGCAGACAGAGCTGCAAAAGAAAGAAAAAGAGGAAAAAGGCAAAACGTGGCCCGGGGTGAAGTTAACGAGAAGGAAGGAAGGGCGGTTGACGTATCCCTTTCGCGCGCCGAAGAGCAGCCGGAAGGGAGAAGTGGCCGATGCCGTGGCCGGGGCTGAAATTCGAACCTGAGGAAACCCGACAAACGCCGCGTCGATTCCAGGGGTTAAGTTAAGCTCCTAACGCCTACCTACTTAACCAGTTAACTGCGTTTGACGAGTATACACGTCAAACAAAAACTATTCCGCTACGTTTGACGTATATACTCGTCGTCGCTTCTATTTATTTACGCACTCCATAACCTAACTCCATGAGAAATTTTTAAAAGTAAATTCCGCAGTTAATTGGTTAAACACCGGCTGGTAAAACTTGTGCGACAGATCTCAGTTTGCGCAGGACAAAATCACCGCTAATTTGTCAAGAAAACGGGACGATCTAGCCGATAAATAGAAAATTGAGAATTTTCATACGTCCAACCGACGATAGGTCCAATATCCATACGATCGCCGATGTTCAAACGGACACGAGGCGAAAAACAATTATTCAGAAATTTCCTTCGATGTTTTCAAATCGATCGGTATAAAAAAATTCACGCGACGAAATTTCCTTCCAGAAAAGATAAAAGTAAAGTACCATATATCGCTGTGTGTACGGTGGTACGTAAAAATGACACTGCCACTTTTATCATTTTGCCCGGGAAAATTAAAAAGAAATAAAAGGAAATTAAATCAAGGGGAAATTATTGACCGCTTCAACGCACGGGTGGAAGTTCTAAAAATGCACAAGAGTGTTATGTGTATCATCTTCTATGAAGGTGTGCTCGTAGCTACCACTGTACAAAAGATTTTATCTCACCAAGTATACAGTGTACAGTGTATATCAGTTGGTATTGTGTAATGGTAAATAGAGTTGGACATAAAATCGATGATTTTTAGGAAATCGTATGGGAAATTTGCGTAAGTTTTCTCTACTATATGCGTCGTTTAAAGAACACAGCGATTCCATCGGTCGACCTACAAGGTTCTTCGATTAAAATACAGAGCGTAGTACCATCGAGAGTCGTTGAAGCCTCTTAACGAGAGGAAAGACCACTCGTGGATAGGGTGGCTCTCGAAGAACATTCTTTTCAATTATAAAAATTTTAACGCTGTTAAAAGCTATCGAATATTTAGGACGTAAATAAATTAGTTGATTTAAACAAACGGAGAGAAAATACTGCGGAGATATAAAGACAGAGCACGCGAGCGCAAGAAGCGACAGAAATAAAAAGGAATAAAAAGAAAATGCTGCATAGAGATCTTTAACAATGCATGCACATTCGCACAGCAAATACGCGAGTGTAAGATCGATCAACGAGCAACGTCGGTGCGTATTCTTCTTGATCAGACAAGAACAAAAGACGCTTCTGTGCAGCGTTCTCTTTCTGCTGCCATATCGCATCCACTTGTAGGGTAACATATGGCTCGTATTCTCTATCTTTATATCTCTGTGAAAAAGAACGAAGGATCTGCTTTTAGTAGCGCGCCATCTTATCATCGGAGGATTGAAATTTAAGCCACACGTTCACCACTCGTAAGTCTGCCATCTATCCACCGATATATCTATGTATGCGAAAAGCTAAGCAACATCTACAACGTTCTCACGCAACGTTTTTTTGTAACGCATGCAGCTGGGTTGTAAATGGTCACGGAATCGTCGTGTTTCTTAATTTCATTTCGTTTAGCCCTTCTCAAGTTTCGACAGCCTGCAGCTCGTACAAAGTTGGCCGTATAAAAAATCTGTCCAACACACGCAAATTGTTTCCAGCAGATTTCTAGCCTGCCGACTATCGTATAATTTCGAAGTTCCATTCGAGCCTGGTAATTACACAGGTCAAATTTCAAACAAATCTGCGTGTGTTAGTGACAGTGGAAAGCGAGTATCTTACACGTGTGTTGCATAAGTTGAAAATTGTTTGAAAAGGTATGAAATACGTGGGAATGTAAATCAATGAAAAACGTAATTAAATATATATACGAACCTCGTTCTTTACTCTCACTGTAGAAGCTATAAGAACGTTTAGCGCAACTGCGGGTATATTTCGCAGAGATAACAAAGGTAATTACGCGATCAGTTAATGACCCTACTTGACATGTTTTTTTCCACGACTTTGCTAAACCATCGCTTCCTATACAAAAGAACGAGACGAGTGCTCGACCGAATTCTCGAAGACGAGGAAAAAGACTGACTCACCGATGTCGTTGGACTGTCGACCCTTGCCATCCGAATTCCACTCTTCCTCTGCAACAATAAAAGGAGATACGAGTCTATTAGCGTGGAAGCTACGAAACGAGAAGATCGTCGACGAACGCGCTAAAAAACGATAGACAAAAGAACGGTTTCGAAAAGTTGGGTCTTGCGGCGTTTCGTTACCTCGCCGTGTACGATGCTAATTAGATTCGAATTTAATTGGCGAGCGCGCGACAAACTTCTCCTAATTGGTCGATGAATATACCTTCTTGCGAGAGCTTTGAAAACTTGCGAGATGCGATCGAGCTGTCGAGTTTCGAGCACCGAAAGGTAGCCTGGAATCTTGACTGATCAACGATATCTGGCAACCGAGAGTTCTGACGAAAGCTCCCTTAATCCCATCGCAGGATCAAACGATAATTCACCAGGGATAATAAGAAACTAAGGTTCACTGTTTCGCCAAGTTTCGCCATTATTCGCTAGTTGTACAAAAACGGAACTATAATTGTCCAACTTCAATTTGCTGGATAGTTTGTAAATGTTCGACGCTCTTGAAAGCGTTGGTCAGAATTGGCAAGGATTAACAGCTAGGCATACTGGCAACTAAATGATTGCGGATTTTGTCATTCGCTGGTAATGACAAAATCCGCAATCACTTAGTTGCCAACCCAATATATCATAATACGTGTATATTACGTACATCGTTGACAGTTTCACCCTATGCGCAGCACCAAAATACCACGTTACCTAAAAGTTCCATTATTATTCAGCCATTCTCATCGTCTATTAATTCATGTACACGTGGCAGGCTCTATTACATATATTAGTCAAGGAACCTTAATTTCTGATCATCCTACGTACGCTTCCTTCCAACGTGACTAGCTCGCTCGCGGGGATAATTGGAAGGCGAGTCGTTTGCCTGAAAATTATTCGGTGCTCGACGGCAACGGCTGCCAGCACAGCTGAAACCTCGCAGCTCGAGAAACAAGGAGAAGGGAAGAGAGCAGAGCGAGATAGAAATGGGGAGCGCGGCGCTTAGTTGCACCCATGAACGTAAGGGCGAGTACGTGTGCTGGTTGCACGAGCTAGGTACATATATATGCATCCTGCATATTTCAGGAACAGAACACGCCGTTTCTGCAGAGGGACGACGGTCTATGCGTCGCGTAAATTTATAAGGATCCAGCGTTCTCGCTACTTCCGCATTCTTAGCCACGCGGGAGATATGAATTTAAATTTATCGACCCTGTCGACCCATTTTCCCAGAGTTGCAGGGTTAATCCGCGAAGCGGACCGCTTGTCCCCGTGGCCAGGACCTGCGCAAATTCTCAGAGTAAAAGCATAGCCAGTCAGGTTTAGGTCACGTTACGTAGCTCACTATTCGGCTGACTACTTAAGTACAAATTATACTTATCTATAATAAGTATTAACTTATTATAAATAATTAGCCATGTTACCGCGCCACGCCAGAAAAATTACTGAAAATTCTCAACGCGAGAATTGATTGTAATTTTAATAAATATTAAAAAAGAAAAAAAAAACACTATTCGGCTGACTATCAAGTTAAGTTAGGGTAGAGGGCGCGTACAGCTGCTGGTCGTTTCACTGCGGTGAGCAGACCCGTTTGTTTTAATCGTTTTTATTCTCTCGGTCAGCTGAATAGTCAGCTACGTTTTCATCCTCGCGGACCTGTGTTCCAAATAGGATTAAGATTTATTTCGATTTTTCTCGGTATATTGAAAACGCTGGCATAGGAAAGGCACTTTTCACGACGCGGTCAAGACGCGAAACGCTGATACGATGGCCTTTTACAAGCATCTGGGATTTAATAAAATCGAGACAACGTTTTAATAAAAGCGCTCTGCCAGATAGCAAGATTTCCATGACAAACATCTCGCGCGAAAACGCCCTCCGATAAACTCTCTTTCCCTCTGAAAGTCCTGCAAAATCTAAAAGTCAAAAGGTCGGTGTATTTACGGAATGAAAGAGGGAATGGGACGAGAAGAGGGGAGGAAAAGGATGGCTCGAGGCTATGCCGCTCGCGTTAGCTTTTTCTCTGCTCTCCTCCTTTCAACCCTTTCGTCGTTTCGCGCTCCTCGTAACCTCGTTTACGATACGGACGCGTCGCCGTTTTCGTGTCGCCTAAGCGATCCTCTTTTCGTTCATACGCGACCGCCGGAAGAGAGTCTCGTTACCGTCAGTATCATAGCCTGTAGGAAAACAGGTACATTGATGCGTCAGAAAGTGCAATGTTTCTAAAACCACCTACTTTATAGCATCAAAGTTGGTACGCGACGAGAAACATGAATGGTCGAATGAAATTTTCGCAATTTTTATTCTTAATCACCGTAACAAGTGGGCGATATTTCAAGGGCTGATTCATCATTCATGAACGATGAAAGAGCGCATAAACGCGAGTTTATCGTTTGGAAGAAAATGTTTGCGTATTTTCAAAGTACGATAAATACGTATTTCTCGTACCAGTTTATATCGCAACCTGCCTCCATCGTTCTTGGATGGTGAATCAGTATTCGAATATTGTAGGATGTTCGACTCGCTTTAAAAAATCAATTCCGAATGGAATCGTGAGAACCGACTGTTTTAAAAGTCCCAGAAAATCGACATCAAGGAATTGATATAAACAGAAACAAAAGATAAGTGTTAGGTTTCGATTGGGCGTTACTTTATCCAGCCGCCGTGAAGAGGCCGCTAGAAACGCGTACTGTGTCACGGATGTACGATTCTAGACAGAATTAGTGGTATCGACAGTTCTTTGCAAATATCTCGATAACTAAGATGGTTATACGTGTAGGAGAAAGTTGTTCAGTATCATGCCCTCTCAACAACGTATTAACGAATCATCGAAATCGAAGATGACCACAGCTTTCTAAATGAGTATCTTTTAACCTCTTAGGCACTACGCGCCACTATAGTGGCTCATTCTGCTGGCGGATACACTCACCGTCTGAACTAAATGATCTTTTTCATTTGTCTTACTCCACGCTCTTTTTGCCCTGGCAACGTTTTATAACAGTGTTGGCAATATACAGGCAGAATATAAAGGGTGGTTGGTAACTGGTGGTATAAGCGGAAAGGGGGTGATTCTACGCGAAAAGAGAAATCGAAAATATAGAATAAACATAAAGGAAGTGAAAAGAGTTGCTCGATATTTCAAGAGGGCAACAAATGGAAAGTAATTACACGGACTATAAAATGAAACCACGACGTTAATTGGATTTGCAGACGTAGAATGAATAGAGGGCAAAGACAATAGAAAATCTAATGGTGGATATCTTTTCCAGTTTTTCACAGGTTCTGTGAGCTGGGGCTTTAAAATTATTCTATATTTTCGGCTTCTTTTTTTGCGTAGAATCACCCCCTTTTCGCTTGTACCACCAGATATCAACCACCCTGTATAATTGAGAATACAGTATTTATGCTTTATGCTCTACGTGTTCTATATCAAACTATGACCAAACCATGATTGTTCTTATTTGTAAGTACTGTGTTTATAAAAGCGAACTGATTTTTCCATTTTTCTTAACGATTTTGAATAAGTATTATTAGTCTGATTTTCAACAAATATTGAAATACAATTGGCATTAATTTATCCTCCCTTTATTTCATAATATGTTCCGTTTTGAATTTTGTAAATATCATTCTTACATTTCTTTTATAATCTTTTTCTCAAAATTTGCCAATTTACATTAAAGGTAAAGTACAGTTATGTTATATATTATGATATATATTATATAGGGTGGTTGGTACCTGGTGGTACAAGCGGAAAGGGGGTGATTCTACGCGAAAAGAGAAGTCGAAAATATAGAATAAACATTTTTTTTAATCTTTTTTTTTTAATTTTTCCATCGAGACAACGATCTACAGTGAGATCCGTTATAACGAGACGTGATAAAGTGCACGCGTACCGAGCGGAAATTCAAAGTCGATTTTCTCGCAAACAAAGCCTCAAACGAAAAATTATTATTCTATATTTTCGGCTTCTTTTTTTGCGTAGAATCACCCCCTTTCCGCTTGTACCACCAGTTACCAAGCACCCTGTATAGTCTTTGTTTTTAGTACGCCAGTGCTAGGTATCAATTGTTGCTTTTCGTTAATTTAAATATACCATTGTTAGATGCTGTTTTTAACATGCTGATTCGTGTTCTTATAATTTTTTAGTATCTCCAATCTCAAAATGTCGCTTCAAAATAGAAAACGAAGAGCAATTTGAAAAACACTATCATGCTATGAGTATGAAAATTGTGACGTGAAAATTGTGACGTGAAAATTGTGATATGTGTCGTACCGTGCATTAAAATATATCACATACAATTGTATTCTTAATTATTAAAGTAAATTATTAAAGTTAAAGTCTATGCATCATATCGCTAAAAAAAATGATAATTTACTTATTAAAATCATCATTGCAATGTGCTTGCGTAGAGAAGAAAATTATCCGTCGCACGTTGCAGTGCTGTATCTCTTACGCGTAATTCCGCCGTACCTAAGAGGTTAATCTCTGGAAATGTTAAACTGTAAGTAAGCGTAAACCGCGTTCTTACATGTACATTCAATCGTATAATTAGAAAAGCAAAAAGATATTCGTGTATCTTTCGGGCAAATGTACGTAAGCATAAAATACCATGACTGTACACACTTGAACCACGATAAAGTTATCAAGCGAAATTACTGCACGTGTCCGTGCTAGCCTTCAGTCAAGTAGTTGCGGCGAGGAACCTTCCTTAGTAACGCTAAAAATATTCAATTCTCAATTTTTAAAACAAAGAATCGGCTCGGGTGGAAACTGTAGAGATTTGATTATCTGGAGAATCGGAATCGAACATCCCTAGTCTGAAATACTGCCCACGTGTTAGGAGACACCCTGTATGTACATTGCATAGACTCCAACAACGAGAGATTAAAAGTTTGACTGAGATCTTAGAGAAAGTCCCTAGATACGTAGTGTTCTCTTCGCAGGAAATATCCGCGTCCGTGTTTCTACCGATCAGACTCCCGCATGGGAACGAGAAGACTCGAGCGGAGATTAGGCG